GGCAGAATCACACAGGCGGTTTAGGGATTTTTTTTAATGGGAGCTGCGTTTAATTCTGACGGCGTGTTTCAAACGTATTTTCCTTTGGTAATTCGTGCTAGCGTAACAAGAAAGTCCGCCCTGAGACCTTGCAGCCGCTCAGAAGGTGGTGAAATGGTACTGAAGTAGGGCTTCAGTAGCCAGTCCGACTTTCGGCTTTGCCAAAGATAAATTTTGTGGAACTTTTAAAATGCGCTTTTATATTTTTGTGTGAAAAAGGGAAAAAAAAGGTGCTAACTCTCATCGTTCGTTAAAAGTTAGCAATCCTTTGTAATTGATTTTAATTATTTATAAAGTATCTTTTGACACATGCACAGCTTCAGAGAACTTTTGTTTGTGTTTCCACAGAAAGAAACAACATGCAAAGTGGACAGAAAACCCAAACTGTGATTTTAGCGAAAAGTACTGGCTTTGTGCCTCTCTTACATGTTTCCATTTTACTTCATAACGGGAGGCGCGGGATTATTTGAATCACGGAGGCAAAATTTGGGCATCATTGGCTGAAGATAAGATGAAAGAAGACTTGAAAATATGTCGATGCTCTGTGACTATTAATTCAGACACACCTTTCACAAACAGAGGGGATCAGTGGTTAAAAACACTGCAGTTTCATCAAAAGAAGCTAATGGAGGATTTCTGTTGATTTTTTTGTCCCTCCCATGAGAAAGATAAAAAATACGAAGGAAAGAATGTGTATACAAATTGAGATAAGGGGAAGGCTGAAGAGAGTAACTTAAGCTTTCGAATCTGTTTTCCAAGTGCTGTAAATTCCCTAATTCATCAAATGCAAAGCATTGTTTTGAATAAATTCTATGATTTTGTGATCAGTGGAGTTTTTTTTGTCAGCTCTAGAAGTGGAATTTGACCTGAGTGAAAGATATAAAAAAGGAGATGTATGATTCTTAATTCCTGTTTTCAAATCAACTTTTTTCCAGCGTTTTCCACTTAGGAATACAGCGTTTCAGTCTGTTACTGTAAATTGTAATCCTGTGTTTTATCTGAAAAATCTCAGAGTTTTTACTTTCCCCCTGATTTTAGTATTTATGCTTTAATTTTATATTTGAGAAAAGTGTGAACAGACAAGGTACCTGCTATTTAACTTTCAACAGGCACACTATTTTGAGTGTCATACCTCAGATTACCAGTAAACTGAGTATCTGTTAGAATTTACAATACAACCTAAGTCTTTTCTTTTAAGAAAAAGAAAAATGCCTTAACATTTTTTTTTTAACTAATTGAATCCAAGTTTGATGTCTGAATATTATGTTTTGTTAGGAGATGCATGCCTGGGGGAAAGGAACTGCCTAATGGATCATGGCTCTGATGTTTACAGGACATACCTTATTCCTAGCATTAATGTTCTTTGCTGTCTTCACTTTTGAAGAATCAGTAAGCAATTACTCTGACTGGGTGACTTTCATAGAAAATGTAGATCGGTATGAGAAACAGAAACTGCAAGGTCTTAGTGCTGAGCAGAAGCTGAAAAAAACTGTTCTTCATCCAAGCTTGTATTTCGATGCCGAAGATGTCCAGACATTGAGGCAGAAGGCTCATACAAGCCATTTGCATCTATTTAGAGCGATCAGAAGTGCAGTGACAGTTATGTTATCCAACCCATTATACTACCTACCTCCACCCAAGCATGTTGATTTTGCTGCAAAGTGGAATGAGATTTATGGTAACAATCTGCCACCTCTAGCGTTTTATTGTTTGCTGTGCCCCGAAGATAAAGCTGCCTTTGATTTTGTTCTAGAGTATATGGATAGAATGGCTGGTTACAAAAACTGGTTGGTTGAGAATGCACCTGGAGATGAAGTGCCGCTTGGTCACTCCCTAACAGGATTTGCCACAGCTTTTGACTTTTTGTATAATTCACTGGAAAATGGGAGAAGACAAAAATACTGGGAGAAGATACGGTCTGTAAGCGAGGAAATGTATGAGTACTCAAAGGTTCGTGCGTGGGGAAAGCAACTTCTCCATAATCATCAAGCAACTAATATGCTTGCCTTGCTTACTGGGGCCTTAGTTACAGGTGTGGACAAGGAATCTCAGGCAAATATTTGGAAACATACTGTTGTTGATGTGATGGAGAAAACAATGTTTCTGCTCAATCATATTGTAGATGGATCTCTGGATGAGGGAGTAGCTTATGGGAGTTACACGGCCAAGTCAGTGACCCAGTATGTTTTCCTGGCCCAGCGCCACTTTGGTATTAACAACTTGGAAAATAATTGGCTCAAAATGCACTTTTGGTTTTACTATGCCACCCTATTACCAGGCTTTCAGAGGACTGTGGGCATAGCGGATTCTAATTACAACTGGTTTTATGGTCCTGAGAGCCAGCTGGTTTTCTTGGATAAGTTTGTCATGAAGAATGGAGCTGGCAACTGGCTGGCACAGCAGATCAGAAAACACAGACCCAAAGATGGGCCAATGGTGCCATCCACTGCACAGAGGTGGAGCACGCTGCACACTGAGTTTATATGGTATGCTGCAGAACTCACTCCTCAGCCTCCTCCTGACTACGGCACTGCGAAGATGCATGTGTTTCCTAACTGGGGAGTTGTTACTTATGGGGCTGGATTGCCAAACAGTCAGACAAATACCTTTGTGTCTTTCAAGTCTGGAAAACTCGGTGGACGTGCTGTCTATGATATTGTTCACTTTCAGCCATATGCCTGGATTGATGGATGGAGAAGTTTCAATCCGGGACATGAACATCCAGATCAGAACTCATTCACTTTTGCTCCCAATGGACAGGTGTTTGTATCTGAGGCTCTTTATGGACCTAAATTCAGCCACTTGAACAACGTGTTGGTATTTGCCCCATCTCCTACAAGCCAGTGCAACCAGCCTTGGGAAGGGCAGCTTGGTGAGTGTGCCCAGTGGCTGAAGTGGATTGGTGATGAGGTTGGAGACTCAACAGGAGAAATTATAACAGCCTCCCAGTCTGAGGACATGATGTTTGTGAGCGGTGAGGCAGCATCTGCTTACACATCATCAATGAAATTGAAAAGTGTATATCGCATTTTGCTACTCTTAAATTCTCAGACATTGTTAGTTGTGGACCATATTGAGAAGGAGGAGGACTCTCCTGTTAATTCAGTCAGTGCCTTTTTTCATAATCTTGACATTGACTTTAAATACATGCCCTATAAATTTAAGAACAAATACAATGGGGCTATGATGGATGTGTGGGATGCCCACTATAAGATGTTTTGGTTTGATCATCATGGGAGTAGTCCCGTTGCTAGGATACAAGAGGCAGAACAAGCTGCTGAATTCAAAAAGCGATGGACTCAGTTCGTAAATGTTACTTTTCCTATGAAAACCACACTTAAAAGAATTGTTTACCTTTTCTCTGGCCCATATGTCAATGTTTCTAGCTGCAGATTCATTGACAATGCAAGATCTGGATTTCAAATTTCACTCAATGTAAACAACACTGAAAATACTATCTCTGTTGTGACTGACTATCAGGATTTAAAGACAAGGTTCAGTTACTTGGGATTTGGTGGTTTTGCCAAAGTAGTTCGTGAAGACAAAGTGACCAAGTTTGGTTTAGGTACTGAATCTTTGGAAAAACGGATAAATAATAATAGGATGGTTTTCCCATTTGGATTCAAAGTGAACATAATTGCAGGGTTAATTTTGGGTGTTAGTTTGGTCATACTGGCTTTTCAGTGGCGGTTTTACATCTCCTTCAGTAAAATGTTGCGTTGGATCTTAATACTGGTTATCACACTGTGGCTTATTGAACTGGTGGATGTGTGGAGCACTTGTACGCAGCCCATCTGTGCAAAATGGAGCAGTGACATGACAAGGCTAGAACATGATAAAGGCAATAAAGCCAAACAATTAGAAGGAAACCCTGTTGTTTTGCCAGATGTTATCATTACTTCACTTCCCGGTTCTGGCGCAGAAATTTTAAAGCAACTGTTTTTCAATAGCAGTGACTTCTTATACATCAGGATACCTACAGCCTATCTAGAAATTCCTGAGACTGGATTTGAAATTGATTCCTTTGTAGATCAATGTGAATGGAAGATTTCTGATGTCCGGAATGGTCATTTTCGACTTCTCCAAGGGTGGTTCCAGTCTCTAGTTCGAGACACAAAGTTACATTTACAAAACATTAATTTATATGAAGCCAGCAGAAGTAAAATTGCTCAGCATTCTACCATAAGCAAGGACAAAAAGAAAAGATCCAAAAAGAGAGAATCTCTGTCAGAGCAAAGAAGCAGGGCAAGAACGAGTCAAGATAAAGATGCTGAATATATTAGGGATCTGAGGAGACACCTTGTCTATTATCCTAATGCACGGCCTGTTCTCAGTTTAAGTAGTGGGAGCTGGACATTAAAGCTTCCTTTCTTTCAAGAAATCCTAGGATCTTCAATGAGAGCATTATATGTCGTAAGGGACCCACGGGCATGGATTTATTCAATGTTGTACAAAAATAAGCCAAGCCTCTACTCCTTGAAAAACGTTCCACAACGCTTAGCTGCAATGTTTAAATGGCAAAATGGTAAAGGAAAATGTAGTTTAAATGAAGGCTATGCCTTTGAATATGAATCACTAAGAGAAGAACTTGCAAATTCTAATTCAGATGCTGTTTCTGTGTTGTCCTATTTATGGCTAGCAAACACAGCAGCGGCACTGAGAATAAATGGGGACCTGCTGCCGACAAATTATCAGCTGCTCAAGTTTGAAGATATTGTAAACTTTCCTCAGAAGGTGGCTGAAACAATTTTTGCCTTTCTTGGTGTTCCTCTTTCTCCTGCTAGCTTAAACCAAATATTATTTGCCACCTCCACCAGTCTTTTCTATCTTCCTTATGAAGGGGAAATTTCACCAAGTAGCATTCACGCCTGGAAACAAAACATGCCCAGTAAAGAAATTAGACTGATTGAAGATATCTGTTGTTCTCTAATGGACCACTTAGGATACCCAAAGTTTATAGAATAAATGCTGCTGGTCAGCAAGAATTTGCACTAATGATCTCTGACTCCCAATTTGTGGATAAGAATTAGAGAAGTTTGTTTATTCTTGTAAAATGTGTACAGTCTGCTACTTCCAGATAGATTATTTTGTGAAAAACATAGTTGTTTTTTCTTTTTTGTTTCTTTTTTTTTTTAACTTGTAACTACTTTTGCTGCCTTTCAAATAAAGCTATGTGAACCTTTACAGGACTGTCAGCTGGGGAGTATATAGCTCAGGGGATTAGTAAGAGGGTATGGAGCTTTTCACCTTCAGCTTGCCAGTTTGGTTCTAGCCCAGGTGGTTAGTTCCCAAAAGTACTTATCATCTGATGGTTGCGTGGTAGCTTATATGAAATTAAACTGGTGGTAATGACCGAGTTCCCAATGGTGGTAATTAGAGCTGTTGGACAGGTTTGCTGATGCATTCTTTCTGTCCCTCACTATAGTGGTGCAAATTAACCATAAGCCCAGTTTTAAGGCTGTTCTGCCACTTCAGTTCTTCCTGCTTCAGTGGGAGAAAGCAGCCAGAGCATTTGAGTGAATCTAGTTCCTTTCTGACAGTCTGAGCAGAGAGGCCCAGGAACGGAATGAACATAGATATTATCAAGTATTGTTATGTGATATGGTTCCTTCAGCTCAGATGTGCCATTTCTGTTGCGTTTTGTGCTTTGACTAAAGAGAAGACTTCATTCTCCAGGCCTGACAAAGTGGTACCTTTTGTCAGCCTGAAGTAAACTATCTGGAGAAAAAAGAAATGGGACACAATCCAAGAAACCTACAACATCTCGCAAAAGAACAATTGAATATGGAGATTTTGTATAATTTTGGCCTGCCTCATCGTGTCAACCTAACTCAATTTTCAAGGTCGTTTACATCGTCGCTTGCAGTGCAGCTTTATCCTGTACATCCTATCTTAAGAGGTTCTGCAAGGATTTTATCTTTTTCTCTGAGATTCTTCCATCCTTCTTTCTTGTAATACATTTCTCTGCTGATTCTTGTGCAGAACTTCAGAGGCCAGTGCAAATGTTTAATGTCAGTGGCGTATTGTTGTTGTCTGTATAAAACGACAATCTAAGATTTAGAAGACCATAACGAAATCTCCAGGTCTGTGTTGCTGAGGGATGTTTTACTTCTTTGTATAGTGTATTTCTGCTGGACAGGCATTGCTAACCTCAGGTTTTCTCTCGGAGGGGAAATCTGAAATTCCCCTTCCACCGCCACCTCACATTTAAATTATGTTTCCCTTTAGTAAACTATTTCCAAAGTCTGCTGATTTTATCATGACTGATATTTCTTTAAAATGGTGCTCTAGTATAGTATTGGTGTGGAAACAGACTTGATGGGATAGGTATGTGTGTCAGTCAGAGCTCGTTTTCTTCTTGGATCACACTCTTTATGCATGCCCATTAAGAAAAGTTTCCTACTTCAACTTGCTCAGCATTCTTTGGAAATGCATGCATACTGTAAATGTCTACAGATGTGTAAATCAAATCACAAAGAGACATCTGTTTCCTTTACCATCTGTTTTTTATTACAAATGGAATTGTCTTGAAATATGCTTCAACTGGTTCGTGGGAGCTGGGATCAGAGTTTTGGTTTATTATATTGAAATATGTGTGTAGAGTAGTTACTATTTATTTGGATCATGGACAATGTCAAAAATTTAGTGAGTTTTTTCCTGCAGGTTGCAGGTATCTTTGCTGATTTTTAATACAGTGAAGTTCCTGCCTTTCCTTCCAACCTTATTATCTCCCTGTCCTACCCCACTTTCTTGCTCCTCGCATACATACAATTCACATCCTTTGCAGCATGTTGTGATAGAGCTCTCATTTTGACCTAGATGAAAGCAGCTCTTTCTCAGCCTTTCATTATTATGTCAAAATTGGCCTGTAGCATGATTAAGCTATTGATACATTGAAGTCTCACTGATCATAACTTAGCTATCATTTTACTTTGAGTGTAATAAGGATTAGCAGCCTTTTTTTCCCCCTTCATTTCTAAGTCTCACCTCTAGTAGGTGAAATGTCACATCAAAGAAAACATTAAAGAATGTTAATGTACACTGACACGTTAGTGACACTTTGATTTCCAATTATCTTTCAGGTTGGCTTCACTCTGAAGCCATTTTTGATTGTGCGTAAAAGTTAACCATATTGATGTCTATACAGTTTTATGTACTTGACAGAATAAGTCTCAGCATTTGCTTTCTATTTCCAGTATTTATGCTCTAGAATTAGGACAAATAAAAAGCCTTTCCCTTTCAGATGTTTTAGGGCAGCTTCAGGTAAGAATTAAGAGTGACTGTGTGTTTGTGGAAGTAGGAAGAGACCTTTAAATCTCTTCCTAACAGTGCTGTATGAAATGTTAACAACAGACGATAAACAAGCTTTTTGTTTGTTTCTGAGAAGCTGGGGTAGAGAGGGTCATCTGTCAGTAGGTCATCCCCATTACTTTGAGAATACAGGTTATCCCATGCATATATATCCATAATACAAGTCATTGCTGTCATTTGTTAAATGCAAGATTCATTTCTTTACTGTACTTTCCAAGTCAAAAATGCATAATCTATTATTCAGATTTGGTTGCGTTGTGTGTTCCTTACACAGATGTAATAAGATAGTAGAGAACTCTAGTCTTTATTTTTGGATCTTGTTGTGAGGGCAAAAGTATTAAAACCATTATCTTAAAAATATGTAGAAGGAAAGGCAATGTCTTTAAAAAGAACAGGATAGGAATACCCAAGATCTGGCAAGTCTCCAAGTAATTTTTAGTCATATAGCTGTTTTGTTGTGCTTTGGATGATACGTTACATGACCCCTTGAGCAGTTAGTACCAGACAAGATGCATCCCAGCTGTAGAGTTGATTGATTGACTTTGTATTGAAATTGTGGCCTTGTACCCGAATTAATAGCAACCCTAGGCATGGACAGTAGAAAGCTGAAGAAACATGCGTATGTTTGAAGAGAATGCGTATTAACAGATCCAGATCTAGGACTTTGTAGAATAAATTTTAGTTGTGAGATCCATTTCATTTATAGATAAAATTGACAATTGTGATTTTGAGAAGTAGGATTGCTGTAAAGGCCTGGTAGTAATAATAATAATAAACACAAAACTTGCCTCTCTCTATTAAAAGATAAATTCCAGTTTTATGTCTGTGCTGATCTTAAGTCAGATCAGTCATTAAATACTTTTTTTTTTTTTTCTCCTCATGCAAACATTCCTCTTCATACTAGTGTGGCTCACTGTATGAGCAAGGTGAGTGAAATTATATATTATGAAATGATTTTTGATGTTGTGGGGAGTTATTCACAAAATTCACTTCTATCACTAATATCCAGAGAAAGAATAGTCACTAAGCAGGCCCAGACATTAATCTCCCCTTTCTCCCTATAAAGGGACTTTATAACTTTCAATAAAACTTGCGAATTAAATTAGATTTTTGTGAAAAGCATATCTATTTAGGTATGTTGGATTGAAGAGTGTTCTAGTACTTTCAGATAGCATTTCATAAAGATGGTCATTTTATCTTAAACTTGCTTTCTATTTCTCCCTGTTTTAAATGTTGATAATTGTACTGTGTTATAGTCTGAACTGCCACATTATGAGAGAGCTAAGATTTTGACGTATTTTTAAAATTAAGACTTTATTTAAATATTTTTCTCAGGAGCAGGTGTGGAAGCCTAAGAAAAATTAACACCAAGAAAACATTTCGATTGTTTATTTACTCTGTAACTAAGTTATATTGGCCTTGGGGAGAGGCACATGGGCCTTGGCATTCAAAGTTCCGTGAAATAGCATGAATCTGCAATCTTTGAACATACCTAAATGTCTCTATGGTTCCCAGTGTGGATTTTCCAAGAGCAAAGTCTTTGGAGATAAGCCTCAATATCATGATCAGGTTGGTTCCTTTCTTGCTATTAGCATGCAGTTGGCTCAGTCCTCTTGTTGGATTAATGCTTGGACAGTTAGGATCAAGAGCCGAATTTATGGATCAGATCTTCAGTTACATTTAACTGATATAGCACTTGACACTCTAATACTATTCTGCTGATGTTAGAGTGCAGAGTAAACAAGCAAAAAATGCACTTCGGGTTTTATAAAGATATTGAGTAATAACTGCTGTGCAGATCTGCTTGTCTTGGATCAAATTCTTTTTGTTAAACGTAAAAAATGGCTTTACTTGCTATTGAAATTTCACCATCTGACAAGCCAGAAGAGCCCTGGCCCCACTTGGTCATCAGTTATTATTAGTCTTAATGTTACTGTTTCACTGATCAACATGTTCAGACATAATCTGGAATATAGCAGTATATTTGCTTAAAACATTGGAAGTGCACTATTCAGTGGAAAGGATAAAAATAAAGTACATCAGTATATCTGTAAGTTTACAAAAGATTAGCCCTCTTGTGAGCATCCATTTGTTAGGTTCCATATGTTAGAATATTTTATAGCTAAGGGTCTGAGATATTTATTTGAGGAGACTTAAAAATAATTTATCAACTTACTTTATTTTTTAGTTACACATACAGCTATTCTCCCCAAGAATAAGTACTGGATCAAAACTGTTCCATGATCAGGTCGTCATAAGTATTCCTTCCTTTCTCTGGACTTTCTTTTAGTTTTGGTTTGGACTAAAATATTTATCATGAGTGAGCTGTTTTTCTGAGTTAGGAGTTTGTCTCATAGTCTCAAATTCCATTTTATTTAATTTGTGTGTGGAATATCATGCGCTGCATTCAGAACTGGATCTTAAGTAAAATGCTGTCATGCTGACCTTAATGAATATTGTACCATTGACTTGAACAGTACCAAAATGCTCTCATATATGTTTCTTTCTGGAAGAAACTGTGCAAAATTTGTTGACTAAATAAATATCTCTAAATTGTTCTTCGTTAACCATTCTGAGACAAGGTTAGCTGGTTTTAAAAGTGTATAAATGATTTATCTGGGGATTTTTCTCCCTCTTCTGTAAATAAGTGTCACCTTCTAGAGAATTATCATCTACCTATCCTGAATATTTCAGAAGAGCAGAAATTACAGGAAGTGAATACTTCAAATGATCATGCAAATTACTCTTCTTGATATCTGATGAATTATGAGAAAAGGAAATGCATTTCAATAGTGTGAAAAATATAAATTATTCTATAACCCCTATCAAAGCTACCTGTAGACTATCTGATGAATTTTTAAATTCATGAAATGAGGTATAGAAATAAACAAGTACTTTAAATAATGTAAGAAGAACAGTGTCAAATGTCAGGACTTTGATTTTCATTACAGAGTAGAAATTTGCTGATACATTATCTGCAATATTCTCATAAAGGATGTGAACGGGTGATTCTGTGCTATCTCAGAAAATATTTAATAATGGAAAAATGCTGTTTCACATTATTAAGATGATATTGTTCTAAATTAAACTATACGTCTTTGAAGCCGACAATATGCTGAGAGTTATATGTATTGTAGGAAAATAAAGACAGTCTAATTGCTTTCACACTTGTCTAAACGTGGAAAGGAAAGGTTTTTTACTTATGCTAGTATAACCTCAACCTTTAGTTTACTGCCTTTGCTGAGAAAGATAACTGTGGTGCATAAGAACATGACCTAAATTCATCTAATCTCACATTAGATATTTTAACTGTAACACCTAATGTAGGTGCCTTCTCACTCTAGAATCAATGGAAAGAGAGTGTTGTCTTCAGAGGTGAATCAGACATTACTTATCTCTTCGTAAATCCTCAAAAGCCTAGGGTGATTAAAGTCCTCCTTTAGATGCCTGCCAAAAGGCCTAACATGAAGTGGGGTGAATTTGGATTTAACTGTGTATGGTTTTGTGTCTTAAATGATTTCTGTGGCTGAGCAGTTCTAGTGCATACATACACTGTCAGAGAAAATTTTATGAAACATCATACATAAAATAAAACTTGTTAATAAAATAGTATTTTTGTGTTATGCTTTTTATTCTTAAATGGATTCACCATTTAGAATATCACCAAACTTTGTGATTTGCAGTAAGTGTATATATTTAAATTTTAAAGATACTGTTATTTTTGTTTGGTTTTGAATATGGAACTGTTGTTAGCTTTCAGGAAGTATTGATGGCAGGGCTTGATTCTCTCTGCCCTCAGATGCACAGTAAGTATGTTTGGTGAGTAAAAGATCACAAAGTAGCTATATTCCTGGAACAGGGTAATTGCCTATTCAGTGAAAAACAGAATTTGTTATACAAATCAAAATTTTAAAGCAATGATCTTCTGGCTGCTTTGCAGTACATATGAATCCATCAGAATAGAAAAGCTAAGGCAATAATGGGTAGCAACTTACCTTTTTTAGGCTCATCCCTAAATTACTTTAATCTTTAAGCTATCCATTTTATCTCTGTTTTCATCTGAACTAATAAATTGAAATTGCCCAGGAAAGTTCTCTGGGACTGGGCAACTGATCCAGTCCATACTTGTGATAATCTTAGCATATAAACAGGATGACTGTATGCAAACTAATATTTAAAAGGGTGCCTATTCTAATTCCTGAACTAGGCTCAGGATTCGTTTGGAAGATTGATAGTTGGCCCAGAGACCATTCCAGCCATTTAACAGTATAGGTAAACAAGTTCCAGCAACCATGGATGTTCTCTGGTGTGTTTAATTTAAAATGGAGGCATGATTAAGCTATCTGGAAAAATTGCAGCGCTCTGGCTCTGTCTTGCCGAGTGTGGGTTTGCACAGGTGGTATCTGTCAGAACAAGAAGCACAGGCAATTCAGCATCCTTAACACTGCAGAGGGTTAGAACCCACTGCAGATGTGCCTGAGCTGTAACCAGTGTTGGAGTGCTGCAGCTTTAACTGATTTTTCGGTTAATTTAGGTAAGCAGGAAATGTCTGAGATATATCTTAAAACATGCAAACAAGAATAAGACATGGTTCTACCTCTCCTATGAACTACAGCACATTGTAAGGGTCTTTTTAAATATTTTCTGCAAAGGCTTGCATGTTTTTAAATTTTACTGAGATTATATTTTTCTGATGAAACAAGTTTAATGGTTTTATATTGTGATAGCTCTGTGTCTTCCCTGTTATCTGCAGCAGAATAGGATCTTCTCTTATTTTCTAATTAGTGGGTGGGATGTGCTTACACTTTGTAGCTCATCCTAGGTCTTGTCCCTGCACTCATACAAGGAATTTTTTATTGTTTTTTTAGCCTTCTGGATCTTGACCCCAAGTTTGTGGGGGGGGGTGGTGGGGGTTGGAGTTTCATGGAAAATGCGTATCACAGTAGGAGCATCTAGGCATGGTGTAAACACTATGTTTCTGTCTATTGTTGTTCTTCAAGGTGAATATATCTAGCATGCATCTCAGAGGAAACTAATACCAACAATATGATAAAATGTAGGCTGTTAGGGATAATAAATGCACATTTGTTTCTGAGAAAGCCATTAATATTTTCACTCTTAATCACTATTCTAAGAGAGCAGTTCATTGCATTTTCTTTTTCAGACCTTCATGTATTTCTATCGTACCACTGGCCTAGAAATAGATTTTTTTCTTATGTTTTCTGAATCTTAGTTTGAAATACTCATTTTCTTGAAGCTTCTGTTGTGTGTCAGGATGTTCCAGTCTATTCTTTTCGTGACTCATATCCTACAGATACCACTTGATTTCTGGAAACATAATCTCAGACCTGGTGAGGATTGTGATAGGTACACAGAGATAAACTGAGGAACAGGAGAAAATAAATGTTATGCAGTTGAGGATAATAGCCTTGAATGTGAGTTGGAATATTTAGGTCTTGATGAGCTGCCACATCGTGTGCTTATGAATGCCTGAGTAAAACAGTTTGTTATTCACTTTCACTGGTCAGCTGAACTTTGTCTGTTTCAAATTACCTTAAGAGTACTGAAGGAAAAATAAGTTAAAAAGAACTTTTGTTTGTATATATTTTGATTTTTTTTTTCAAAGCACTGACATTCTTTTGTACTCTCAAGCTGTGTTAATCTGTAACTCGATACCTATTACCCAGTGTAGATCTATAACAACATTGTTGGCATCAAAGAGTGCTTTTCAATGAGAGCTGCAGCTTTACCTGCTGGGTATATATTCAATATTGATGGTTTCTCAACTACTAGCTCCTTTTGTAACACATTTGAAAGAAGACCTTGACATCTGTAATAAGGAATTATTTAAAGAATGGACTGCACTGTTGCTGAGTAAAATGGAGGTAAGTAATGTGGAAACGTGTAGGACCAAAAAAAAAATGTTCAAGAACATGATTAGACAATCAGAATACTCTTGATTAGTCTTGATTATGCCAGTCTCGTAACAAGATTTTTAAAAGTATGCATGTAGCTATCATTATTCTTCAGCCTACTGGCCTTCACGACCCTCTTTAATTGCAGGCTAAGCTAAACTGAATTCTCTTCCTTTTGCTGAAAGATAAGAACGTGCATACATGAAGGTACCATGATGTACCAGGATTTTTTTAAGCTTCTGTGACTTGGATATATGTCTGTGCCTCTAAATTGCTCCAGGGTGCATTTGCAAGTCTTAGATAATGAATGATCTTGTTGACTTCAGTGTTTTTCAGTGTATAGGAATTTACATATTTGTCTTCCATGTTTCTCTGATAATAGCGAGGCGTTAAGTACCTTTAACACACAAAGTGTATAAGATAATTAATAAAAAGGCAGCTTAGGCGATAAAGCAAGATCTTTGTGCATTGTTCACAGATTGTTGAAAATGTTTGCAAGAAATCTGCTTCACCTGCATGTGTTCAGTTGGCTGTGCATAGCAACACACTCACAGCATCCTTTGCAGATTTTCCCCTGAGAAGTTTAGAACTTAAAGGCACAGTCATCAACAGGGAATATCTACCTTACTTTAGTGCCTCTTAAAGGCATCTAGGTGTGATTTTCTTTTTAAAGTACCAAGAAAATTAAAGGAAAAATGTTATTCAATTCCTCTTTGAAGTTGGGAGAAACCTTGGTATTCAGGAGCTATTAAAGTAAAAAATACATGTCTAGGGTCAATTTAGCAGAGCTGCCCTTATTTCTGTCCCGGTCATGCAGTTCAGTGTGCTATTAAGTTATTACTGTTCATGCTATATAATATATCCTGCAAAACAGATGTAAGTATCACCAATTTACTTCTGTTGGACTTTTGAAAAAGAATCAGCTAGATACATAACCAACTTTTAACTGAAAGCACATATAATAACCTCATGAAAAGGTAGTCTTATCCGTATATGGACACCTTACAGTTACTATTGTACTTATGGGCTTTTTATCATGTTAATAATGAAGATTTAATAACTCTGTTTTGTTTTTGGTTTTTGTTATCATTACAGGTATATTACTATTAATAAGTGTAAGAACCCTGGGAGAAATGGTCACTAACTCTAAAGAGCTCGTAGTCTAAATGATAAAATACCTAATTAACACCTGTATCGTAGAGATTAAAAATCCAGCAACTTGCATAACGCTTTTAGATAATTATATAGGAGTAATGGAAGTTGAATTTAAATAACTCAAAGCACAGTCTATTTCACTAACTCACAGGCAGCTTATCCTTAAAACAAAAAATCATTTACAGTATGTATGCTGCACATGCATTTCATCAAATTCATAAAGTCCTGCTAAGTTGTGGGGGGAGTCAGAATGCTGGAAAGCAAACGACATCTGTGATGTGGAGCTGAGTCTTACACGCGAAGTGTATGCAGAGGAGCGCAGAGAGACTTTTAAGGTGATGAACGCTCTAGGTAAATACAGTGAAGTTCTGAATTTAGAAAGTCAAACAGACTCTGACATATGAAGCTTACTGGGAAATCTTTAGATTGTGGTTTGTGTTTTCCTTGCAAAGGAAGTGCTTCTTTTTTGCTAAGATGCCTTTTTCAACTGAAAATGTTCAGAGAATGTGACAGTCTTTTGTTCCTTTTCTTTTCAATTCTGTATAGTTCCCTATAGAACCTTTATTTATTTATTTTGGAAAAATATATAGTGGTTTATCAAGAGTGAATTGGACAAACTCTTTATTTGCTTTTTCCTTGTGGTGTTTTAAAAGGTGAAATAATTGCAGACATTCCCCCTCCATTTTGAGAAGAAATCTATCAGAATTTCTTAAAGTCACAAATGAGAAAGGGAAAACAGATGATGTCCATCATTACAAACTAGGGGAAAAAAAACTTAAAATTTTTTTCTTGTTCCAGCAAAAAAGAAGCCTAGGAATTTAACCTTATCTCCTTGATCAGCAGCTTTGTTTATGTATCATTTATGTTCAAATTGCAACCATTTCTATTTAAAATGGAACAAAAGAGAAAAAACAGTACTTTTATCAAAATAAATATTTATTGATTATATTGGTTTTTTTTTTTTTGTAGCATTTCATTATTTTGATTAATGTCTCCAAACTGGAATACTGCGGTAAACCAAATCTTCTGCAATATCTTTCTCAACATTTGTGATTTCAAATGTGGCAAGAGCGTCCAACAACTTTTTAAGTTTCTTGCTCTAAGGCAAAATCGTATCGCTACCACATTGCCAGACACTGCACACAAGCCTGACTGTAAACAAAAAGAGCATTTAATCACACTTTATTCTTATAAACATTATTAATGAGTGAATATTGACATATCTAACTTCCTCTTGATAGCCAAACGCACTCGTCTAAATAAGCGCACCTGTGAATTACTTAGCTGTGCCCTGCAAAATCTGTTGACAGATTTCAAATAGGGCTACTCCTTTCTTGTTTCAGTAAGTATAAATTGAGTTAATTTGACAAAGAGAATTGAGTTGAAGTAACAGGGAGTTAAGCTAGTTTAAATGTCTCTAGCTTAAGGGCCTGTATGGATTAAATATTTTTTTGACTTTTAGAGTTACTGGTACACATCTCTGAAAAGAAGAAATCAAATCCATCTGTAATCCTGTTAAATAGAAACATTTCTTTG